TATTTGAGTTCAACATGTGAGAAGTAGAAAGTACAGGTATTGAGTTCAACATGTAAGAAGTAGAAAGTACAGGTATTTGAGTTCAACATGTGAGAAGTAGAAAGTACAGGTATTTGAGTTCAACATGTGAGAAGTAGAAAGTACAGGTATTTGAGTTCAACATGTGAGAAGTAGAAAGTACAGGTATTTGAGTTCAACATGTGAGAGTAGAAAGTACAGGTATTTGTGTTCAACATGTAAGAAGTAGAAAGTACAGGTATTTGAGTTCAACATGTAAGAAGTAGAAAGTACAGGTATTTGGGTTCAACATGTAAGAAGTAGAAAGTACAGGTATTTGTGTTCAACATGAGAGAAGTAGAAAGTACAGGTTATTGGGTTCAACATGTAAGAAGTAGAAAGTACAGGTATTTGTGTTCAACATGTGAGAAGTAGAAAGTACAGGTATTTGAGTTCAACATGTGAGAAGTAGAAAGTACAGGTATTTGGGTTCAACATGTAAGAAGTAGAAAGTACAGGTATTTGAGTTCAACATGTAAGAAGTAGAAAGTACAGGTATTTGAGTTCAACATGTAAGAAGTAGAAAGTACAGGTATTTGAGTTCAACATGTAAGAAGTAGAAAGTACAGGTATTTGAGTTCAACATGTGAGAAGTAGAAAGTACAGGTATTTGAGTTCAACATGTGAGAAGTAGAAAGTACAGGTATTGAGTTCAACATGTGAGAAGTAGAAAGTACAGGTATTGAGTTCAACATGTGAGAAGTAGAAAGTACAGGTATTTGTGTTCAACATGTAAGAAGTAGAAGTACAGGTATTTGGGTTTCAACATGTAAGAAGTAGAAAGTACAGGTATTTGAGTTCAACATGTAAGAAGTAGAAAGTACAGGTATTTGAGTTCAACATGTAAGAAGTATCAACATGTAAGAAGTAGAAAGTACAGGTATTTGAGTTCAACATGTAAGAAGTAGAAAGTACAGGTATTTGTGTTCAACATGTAAGAAGTAGAAAGTACAGGTATTTGGGTTCAACATGTAAGAAGTAGAAAGTACAGGTATTTGTGTTCAACATGTAAGAAGTAGAAAGTACAGGTATTTGAGTTCAACATGTGAGAAGTAGAAAGTACAGGTATTTGAGTTCAACATGTAAGAAGTAGAAAGTACAGGTATTTGAGTTCAACATGTGAGAAGTTGAAAGTACAGGTATTTGGGTTCAACATGTAAGAAGTAGAAAGTACAGGTATTTGTGTCCAACATGTAAGAAGTAGAAAGTACAGGTATTTGTGTTCAACATGTGAGAAGTAGAAAGTACAGGTATTTGAGTTCAACATGTGAGAAGTAGAAAGTACAGGTATTTGAGTTCAACATGTAAGAAGTAAGAAAGTACAGGTATTTGAGTTCAACATGTAAGAAGTAGAAAGTACAGGTATTTGTGTTCAACATGTAAGAAGTAGAAAGTACAGGTATTTGAGTTCAACATGTGAGAAGTAGAAAGTACAGGTATTTGAGTTCAACATGTAAGAAGTAGAAAGTACAGGTATTTGAGTTCAACATGTAAGAAGTAGAAAGTACAGGTATTTGAGTTCAACATGTAAGAAGTAGAAAGTACAGGTATTTGGGTTCAACATGTAAGAAGTAGAAAGTACAGGTATTTGAGTTCAACATGTAAGAAGTAGAAAGTACAGGTATTTGAGTTCAACATGTAAGAAGTAGAAAGTACAGGTATTTGAGTTCAACATGTAAGAAGTAGAAAGTACAGGTATTTGAGTTCAACATGTAAGAAGTAGAAAGTACAGGTATTTGGGTTCAACATGTAAGAAGTAGAAAGTACAGGTATTTGGGTTCAACATGTAAGAAGTAGAAAGTACAGGTATTTGAGTTCAACATGTGAGAAGTAGAAAGTACAGGTATTTGTGTTCAACATGTGAGAAGTAGAAGGTACAGGTATTTGAGTTCAACATGTGAGAAGTAGAAAGTACAGGTATTTGGGTTCAACATGTAAGAAGTAGAAAGTACAGGTATTTGAGTTCAACATGTAAGAAGTAGAAAGTACAGGTATTTGAGTTCAACATGTAAGAAGTAGAAAGTACAGGTATTTGGGTTCAAAATGTAAGAAGTAGAAAGTACAGGTATTTGAGTTCAACATGTGAGAAGTAGAAAGTACAGGTATTTGAGTTCAACATGTGAGAAGTAGAAAGTACAGGTATTTGAGTTCAACATGTGAGAAGTAGAAAGTACAGGTATTTGAGTTCAACATGTGAGAAGTAGAAAGTACAGGTATTTGTGTTCAACATGTAAGAAGTAGAAAGTACAGGTATTTGAGTTCAACATGTAAGAAGTAGAAAGTACAGGTATTTGGGTTCAACATGTAAGAAGTAGAAAGTACAGGTATTTGTGTTCAACATGAGAGAAGTAGAAAGTACAGGTATTTGGGTTCAACATGTAAGAAGTAGAAAGTACAGGTATTTGTGTTCAACATGTGAGAAGTAGAAAGTACAGGTATTTGAGTTCAACATGTGAGAAGTAGAAAGTACAGGTATTTGGGTTCAACATGTAAGAAGTAGAAAGTACAGGTATTTGAGTTCAACATGTAAGAAGTAGAAAGTACAGGTATTTGTGTTCAACATGTGAGAAGTAGAAAGTACAGGTATTTGAGTTCAACATGTAAGAAGTAGAAAGTACAGGTATTTGAGTTCAACATGTAAGAAGTAGAAAGTACAGGTATTTGAGTTCAACATGTGAGAAGTAGAAAGTACAGGTATTTGAGTTCAACATGTGAGAAGTAGAAAGTAAAGGTATTTGAGTTCAACATGTGAGAAGTAGAAAGTACAGGTATTTGAGTTCAACATGTAAGAAGTAGAAAGTACAGGTATTTGGGTTCAACATGTAAGAAGTAGAAAGTACAGGTATTTGAGTTCAACATGTAAGAAGTAGAAAGTACAGGTATTTGAGTTCAACATGTAAGAAGTAGAAAGTACAGGTATTTGAGTTCAACATGTAAGAAGTAGAAAGTACAGGTATTTGTGTCAACATGTAAGAAGTAGAAAGTACAGGTATTTGGGTTCAACATGTAAGAAGTAGAAAGTACAGGTATTTGTGTTCAAATGTAAGAAGTAGAAAGTACAGGTATTTGAGTTCAACATGTGAGAAGTAGAAAGTACAGGTATTTGAGTTCAACATGTAAGAAGTAGAAAGTACAGGTATTTGAGTTCAACATGTGAGAAGTTGAAAGTACAGGTATTTGGGTTCAACATGTAAGAAGTAGAAAGTACAGGTATTTGTGTTCAACATGTAAGAAGTAGAAAGTACAGGTATTTGAGTTCAACATGTGAGAAGTAGAAAGTACAGGTATTTGTGTTCAACATGTAAGAAGTAGAAAGTACAGGTATTTGTGTTCAACATGTAAGAAGTAGAAAGTACAGGTATTTGTGTTCAAAATGTAAGAAGTAGAAAGTACAGGTATTTGAGTTCAACATGTGAGAAGTAGAAAGTACAGGTATTTGGGTTCAACATGTAAGAAGTAGAAAGTACAGGTATTTGTGTTCAACATGTAAGAAGTAGAAAGTACAGGTATTTCAGTTCAACATGTAAGAAGTAGAAAGTACAGGTATTTGAGTTCAACATGTGAGAAGTTGAAAGTACAGGTATTTGGGTTCAACATGTAAGAAGTAGAAAGTACAGGTATTTGTGTTCAACATGTGAGAAGTAGAAAGTACAGGTATTTGTGTTCAACATGTGAGAAGTTGAAAGTACAGGTATTTGTGTTCAACATGTGAGAAGTAGAAAGTACAGGTATTTGTGTTCAACATGTAAGAAGTAGAAAGTACAGGTATTTGAGTTCAACATGTGAGAAGTAGAAAAGTACAGGTATTTGTGTTCAACATGTAAGAAGTAGAAAGTACAGGTATTTGAGTTCAACATGTGAGAAGTAGAAAGTACAGGTATTTGAGTTCAACATGTGAGAAGTAGAAAGTACAGGTATTTGTGTTCAACATGTAAGAAGTAGAAAGTACAGGTATTTTTGTTCAACATGTAAGAAGTAGAAAGTACAGGTATTTGGGTTCAACATGTAAGAAGTAGAAAGTACAGGTATTTGAGTTCAACATGTGAGAATTAGAAAGTACAGGTATTTGTGTTCAACATGTGAGAAGTAGAAAGTACAGGTATTTGTGTTCAACATGTAAGAAGTAGAAAGTACAGGTATTTGAGTTCAACATGTGAGAAGTAGAAAGTACAGGTATTTGGGTTCAACATGTAAGAAGTAGAAAGTACAGGTATTTTTGTTCAACATGTAAGAAGTAGAAAGTACAGGTATTTGTGTTCAAAATGTAAGAAGTAGAAAGTACAGGTATTTGGGTTCAACATGTAAGAAGTAGAAAGTACAGGTATTTGTGTCCAACATGTAAGAAGTAGAAAGTACAGGTATTTGTGTTCAAAATGTAAGAAGTAGAAAGTACAGGTATTTGGGTTCAACATGTAAGAAGTAGAAAGTACAGGTATTTGGGTTCAACATGTAAGAAGTAGAAAGTACAGGTATTTGTGTTCAACATGTAAGAAGTAGAAAGTACAGGTATTTGAGTTCAACATGTAAGAAGTAGAAAGTACAGGTATTTGTGTTCAAAATGTAAGAAGTAGAAAGTACAGGTATTTGAGTTCAACATGTAAGAAGTAGAAAGTACAGGTATTTGTGTCCAACATGTAAGAAGTAGAAAGTACAGGTATTTGTGTTCAAAATGTAAGAAGTAGAAAGTACAGGTATTTGGGTTCAACATGTAAGAAGTAGAAAGTACAGGTATTTGGGTTCAACATGTAAGAAGTAGAAAGTACAGGTATTTGTGTTCAAAATGTAAGAAGTAGAAAGTACAGGTATTTGTGTCCAACATGTAAAAAGTCGTAAGTAGTGGAGTAAAGTACTGATACCAGAAAAATTTACTTAAGTACAGTAACAAAGTATTTGTACACTACTTCCCACCTCTGCTTCTTATTCTAATGAACGATGTTCTGCAGGAATGAGCATCATTCTGGGCGTGGCGGAGGGAGAGGTGTTCGTCCACGATGCAGAGATCCAGAAGTCTGCTCTGCAGGTGAGACGCTCCTTTAATCTGCTGCACTGATGCATGTTAACTATGGGATGGATTGCCATTAAATGTATGTATGTGTCCCACAACGGGGACATTTACAGGGTGGGCAGTGCAGGTATCTTATGTGTTTTATAGGGCAAATAAAGTATATATAAGGTATTTAATGCAGTGTATCAGGTATCTAATGCAGTTTATAAGGTATTTAATGCAGTGTATCAGGTATCTAATGCAGTTTATGAGGTATTTTTAATGCAGTGTATCAGGTATCTAATGCAGTTTATGAGGTATTTAATGCAGTGTATCAGGTATCTAATGCAGTTTATGAGGTATTTAATGCAGTGTATCAGGTATCTAATGCAGTTTATAAGGTATCTAATGCAGTTTAAAAGGTATTTAATGCAGTGTATCAGGTATCTAATGCAGTTTATGAGGTATTTAATGCAGTGTATCAGGTATCTAATGCAGTTTAAAAGGTATTTAATGCAGTGTATCAGGTATCTAATGCAGTTTATACGGTATTTAATGCAGTGTATCAGGTATCTAATGCAGTTTGAGGTATTTAATGCAGTGTATCAGGTATCTAATGCAGTTTATAAGGTATTTAATGCAGTTTATAAGGTATTTAATGCAGTGTATCAGGTATCTAATGCAGTGTATCAGGTATCTAATGCAGTTTATAAGGTATTTAATGCAGTGTATCAGGTATCTAATGCAGTGTATCAGGTATCTAATGCAGTTTATAAGGTATTTAATGCAGTTTATAAGGTATCTAATGCAGTTTATATGGTATTTAATGCAGTGTATCAGGTATCTAATGCAGTTTATAAGGTATTTAATGCAGTTTATAAGGTATTTAATGCAGTGTATCAGGTATCTAATGCAGTGTATCAGGTATCTAATGCAGTTTATAAGGTATTTAATGCAGTGTATCAGGTATCTAATGCAGTGTATCAGGTATCTAATGCAGTTTATAAGGTATTTAATGCAGTGTATCAGGTATCTAATGCAGTTTATGAGGTATTTAATGCAGTGTATCAGGTATCTAATGCAGTTTATATGGTATTTAATGCAGTGTATCAGGTATCTAATGCAGTTTATAAGGTATTTAATGCAGTTTATAAGGTATTTAATGCAGTGTATCAGGTATCTAATGCAGTGTATCAGGTATCTAATGCAGTTTATAAGGTATTTAATGCAGTGTATCAGGTATCTAATGCAGTGTATCAGGTATCTAATGCAGTTTATAAGGTATTTAATGCAGTGTATCAGGTATCTAATGCAGTTTATGAGGTATTTAATGCAGTGTATCAGGTATCTAATGCAGTTTATATGGTATTTAATGCAGTGTATCAGGTATCTAATGCAGTTTATAAGGTATTTAATGCAGTTTATAAGGTATTTAATGCAGTGTATCAGGTATCTAATGCAGTGTATCAGGTATCTAATGCAGTTTATAAGGTATTTAATGCAGTGTATCAGGTATCTAATGCAGTGTATCAGGTATTTAATGCAGTTTATAAGGTATCTAATGCAGTTTATAAGGTATCTAATGCAGTGTATCAGGTATTTAATGCAGTTTATAAGGTATCTAATGCAGTGTATCAGGTATCTAATGCAGTGTATCAGGTATCTAATGCAGTGTATCAGGTATCTAATGCAGTTTATAAGGTATCTAATGCAGTGTATCAGGTATTTAATGCAGTTTATAAGGTATCTAATGCAGTGTATCAGGTATCTAATGCAGTGTATCAGGTATCTAATGCAGTGTATCAGGTATCTAATGCAGTTTATAAGGTATCTAATGCAGTGTATCAGGTATTTAATGCAGTTTATAAGGTATCTAATGCAGTGTATCAGGTATCTAATGCAGTGTATCAGGTATCTAATGCAGTGTATCAGGTATCTAATGCAGTTTATAAGGTATTTAATGCAGTGTATCAGGTATCTAATGCAGTGTATCAGGTATTTAATGCAGTTTATAAGGTATTTAATGCAGTGTATCAGGTATCTAATGCAGTTTTTAAGGTATAAATTGCCCATGTTTTCCCTAAACTTAGCTTCCATCTCCCCACAGGTGATAATAAACTGTGTGTGTGCCCCGGATCAGAGCCTGAGTCCTGGGGGGGGCTTTCCCCCGGCCCCCCCTTATGTTCTGCACCTCATGTGGCAGCTGGTGCAGAACAACAACGGCATCAAGGTAAAAAACACTAAAGGAACTTCAGTCTTCTTTAAAGATCTCCTATCATGCTATTTTTAGGCATATATTATGGGTCTCAGATATATACAGTGTTTCCCCTACCATTGTCTTGGAGGGGTGCTGCGCCCCGCCAACGGAGCCCCGCGCCCCCGCTGAAATTCAATGCATTTAAAAAAAAAAAAAGATATATATATATAGCACCAAATTGCAAATAATCTATATCTACGGTCACTTTTCACATTGAACATGTGCTCTTTTATTAAAAAAAACTAAACGCTTTCATTTTAAGTTGAGTTTAGTGTTTTTGACCCTAAGAAACACTGATGCATTAATCAATAACAATAATCCACAGCTCCTCTCTCTGCTCCAGAGGATTTAAAAAAAAAAATATCCCAATGCCACCCCCAGGCAGCATTCCCCCAAAGCAGTAAACTTAGGGGAAGCACCGTAAAAATATATAAAAACATGTCTATGTCTAGGAGGCGTGTGGCGCAGTAGGTAGGGCGTTGGTGTTTCGGATCAGGGGAGGTTCAAACCCCACTGCAGTCAGCATGTCGTTGTGTCCCTGAGACACTTCACCCCAAATTGCTCCTGTGGGGATTGCCCACAGTATTGAGTATGTAAGTCGCTTTGGATAAAAGCGTCTAACAAGTGACATGTAATGTAATATATATGAAGTGTTTTGCTCAAAATACCAAACAGATCATGCATTTTAGACATCGCTCATTTTAGACATCCCTCATCCCCCTCTATTTCAGCCCTGTTACTAAAGTGCTGATTCTGGGTCCTCGGCTTTAAAAAAATTTAATAAAAATGAGGGGGCGGAGCTAATGCCTGCTCAGAATTCTACGAGACTAAATGCTGCCGTGATTAAACGCCATCATGTTCCAGACCACATCAAGGATTATCTCTGAAACAGCATGGAGCTCAAATGCTGCAGCACCCCCTAGCGGCGGGCAGGGGGTGCTGAGCTCCCCTGTCTGAATTATTATTTGACGGTTATTGCTGCTCCCGCTGTGCATAATCTGTGTAACCCTAACCCTTATCTCAATGGGCCTCAAACAGTTTGGTCACAAATTATTCAAAAGATTATTTCCGCGGCACACCTTCATATGATCATTATCGTTATAAAACAAATAAGAGAATAAAGGAAAAACAGTTATGAAATACTATATGGCAGTAAAACAAGAATACAGTTTGAAAGGGGAGTGATTTGTAAAATATCCATAAATAAAAACAACATCTGTTTACAGTTCTGTTTCATCTGGGTGTTGAGAGATGTATCCATAGATCTCTCAATGTTGCTCTCAAAGTGCACCAGATTGATGCTTTCAACTTCAATATTTAAAAAAAATCTTCGCGGGGGAGCATGCTCTAGAGGAGCCCTAGAAGAGGTGAGATCCGCTCCCCACTCGTAAAAAATAGCACTTTACCCCTGCCTATATGCCATGAGCTGATTATCGAGCCTTCGTTGTAACAGTCGCGGGTGTACTGTGTGTTTGCGTGTGGGGAGTGCTTTTGTGCGTGCTCTATAGTGCCCGTAATAGTGTTCACTGGAGTCCAGCACCTCAGCACCCCCACTCAAAATACCTTCCCGCGCCTCTGCACAAACATGTAACTTTGATTTGTGATTTCACTGTAAACTACAGAAGGCTTATATAGAATATTGTATTGCCTATGACTGTTTACATGTGAGAAGCTGAATAAAAAAAAGACAAATCTATCCTTCTCTCTCTCTCAGGTGCTCCTCTCGGTTCTCTCTGTGAAGATGCCCATCACAGATGCAGATCTGATCCGAGCTCTGGCCTGTAAAGCTCTGGTTGGATTGTCCCGCAGCGCCGCCATCAGACAGATCATCAGCAAGCTGCCGCTGTTCACCAGCAGCCACATCCAGCAGGTGAATAACAACAACAACAACAACAACAACAACACACCTTCAGGGACGGGATTACACACCTGAGCATGGAGGAGAAACGCTAAACCTTAATTGGATAATTGCTGCAAAAGATAGATAACCCTCCTCCTCCTCCTCTTCCTCTTCCTCTTCCTCCTCCTCCTCCCAGCTGATGAAGGAGCCTCTGCTTCAGGACAAACGCAGCGAGCATGTGCGTTTCTGCCGCTACGCAGCGGAGCTAACGGAGCGCGTGTCGGGGAAACCTCTCCTCATGGGGAGCGACGTCTCATTGGCTCGCCTGCAGAGGGCCAACGTGGTCGCCCAATCACGGATCACCTTCTCCCAGAAGGAGCTGTTGGTGTTGATCAGGAACCACCTGGTGGCCAAAGGGCTACATGACACCGCTAACACCCTTGTCAGGGAGGCCAACCTCCCCTCCTCCCCTCCTCTGATCTGCAGGAGTCACCGCTCGGACAGACAAGGTCAACTTTTATGATTTGTCGTTCTTAACATCCATGTTTGTTTGTGTCCGCCCCCTCCCCAATAAACCGTATTTCATTTCATTTCACATTCTGTTCTTGTACATAGTCATATTCTATTTACGTTACATTTTCTTAGACCCTCGCAGGATAAACCCCCCCAAAGAAAATGGCAGAAACCGAGAGACCGAGAGACAGATATTATTATTATTTGTCGATCTTAACATCCATGTTTGTTTGTCTCCTCCTCCTCTTCCTCCTCCTCCTCCTCTTCCTCAATTTTATAATGTGTTTCTTAATGTCTTTCATGTTTGTAAAGCACTTTGAATTGCCTTGTGTTGAAAGGTGCTGTATTAATAAACTTGCCTTGCTCAGCAGGTCGTATCGGCGGCGGCCATGTTGGCTCGTCTCCTGCGTCCTCATTGGCTGTTGCCTCCTCCTCCTCCACTCCCATTCGCTCCCTCGTCCTCTCCTCCCCCTCGCCAGCGTCTCTTCCGGCGGGTCGGATTCTGTTTTCTCGAGAACGCCCGCCTGCGATCTGTAACTCTGGGAGGAGACTGAGGGCGCTGAAGCAGAAGTCGGACCACGGTGCCTTCATACAGGTCAGGGAGGCCATTTTGTTTATTTTACATGTTTTTATTTTGTGCACTTTGTTTCAGGCTGTGTCTTTTTATTTATTTAGTTCAGGGGTCGACAACCTTTTCGACATGTAGTGCCATTTAAAAAAAAAAAAAATTGTGATCAGTGTACCGACGATCGTGAATTGTCAACGGTGGGGGGGAGCCTCGCTGCGGGGAAGCAGTGTGTGGACCTCTTTCACCTGTCAGCGTAACTTACATGATGCCGTTTAAACACATTTCAAATTTCAATAATTGGTTTTAAACGGCATAATAATAAGGACGACCGTCCGTTCTGTGATTCTCCAGAACACACAGAAGGCCGCCCCTTTTGTAGCATATTCTTTTCGATGAGAGATGAGCAGATCGCCACTGGGCTTTCAACTAAAGACACTTGTACAGCATTTGTACAGCTCCTTATGGGTACTGCAATTTGTGAAGTGCTTTCCTCCGTGTTGAAACGCTCAGCACCACGGAGGAAAGCGGCAGAAAGTCGCCTGGAGTTAAAGAGAGTGGGGCTGCGTTGCGTGCATGACTTCCTTCTGCAGGTAACGGGGAGACGCGCTCTGGCGGCGGTCTCGTTCAGGATCCGAAAATACAATGTAAATATTTTTGCACACTTATTGACCCCTGATTTAGTTTATTAATTCAATGTAGGTGTGTCTTTTTATTTATTTATTTTTTAATGACACCAACGCTCACTAAAGTTCCAGTTTAATATTTAATAATAATAGAGCCCGCCCACATTTCAGATATTACGTCATATCAGCTCCGTTGTTCCCCCGTTTTTAGAGATGTGGGTACAGAGGAAAAGAGAGAGGGTTTTATTTCCTGACACTTTGAGAGTCTCCTGACACACCGGGGACACACCGGGGACACATGGTGATGTTGAGAAGACATCAATAAAAGTGCATTTTGCATGATAGGAGACCTTTAAATCTGTTAAAGCGGTCGCACATAAGCGGCAACATTGCTCAGAACATCCTCTCTTCTACTCTGGTTTCAGACTCCAGCCATGAAGAAGCAAATCTATTTGTTTTATGTCCTATATGTATTCATGTTATATATATTTGTTTTTGTATTCGGGATTGTGGGAAACGGTATTTCGATCTCTCTGTCTATAAGTTCTAAAGTTGACTTTGACTAAAGAATATATCCTCTCTTCTTCTCTGTGTTTCAGACTCCGGCCATGAAGATGCAGCCCCCCCTCGCCCCCCCCCCCCCCCCCCTCCCTGGACAGCATCATCACAGAGTTCCTGAGGGAGCAGCATGCGCGCTGCATTAACCCCGTCACCACCTGCCCCCCCTTCTCCCTCTTCACCCCCCACCGCTGCCCCGAGCCCACGCAGCGCCGCATGGCCGAGCCCAACTTCAGCGCCCGGCTGGGTGGGCGGGGCCTGTACCCGAGGCACGGGGGGGTGGACCGAGGGGGGCTGGACCGGCACCTCATCTTCAGCAGGTAGGAAGCACACTCAGGGAGTCCAAACAACCCATTGGTTATAATGACAACTGTTTAGAAGACACAAACATGAAAAAAACAGCGAGGGACATATTTGCACTTTTTTTGTGGTGGGACGGCGAAGCGGAGAGGTTTCCCACGTTGCCTTTTCGGGCTGTGACCGGCCACCAGACGCTCGCCGTCTTCCATCTGGGCCTGGCTCCAGAAGGAGGACTCGGGCTACCTCCGGGCCGGGTGTCCTCACTTTTGATGGTGTTTTTCATGGGGTCGTTGAACCACTCTTAGTCTGGCCCCTTGCCTGAGACCAATTTGCCATGGGAGACCCTACCAGGAACACAAGGTTCCAGACAACACAGTCCCCAGGTTCATCGGAGCACGCAAACCTCTCCACCACGATAAGGTGCTGGTTCTTCAGAGAGGTGTATATATATTTTATATATTTGTATTTTGTATTCCTCTGGATTGTGGGAAATGGTATTTCGATCTCTCTGTCTGTACACACAAACTGAAAGATTGACAATAAAGTTGACTTTGACTGATTTTGACTCTTCACAAAGAAACCCCTCGACTAACGGAGGAGAGATGGCAATGGATGTGGTGTTTTATAAAATAAAGATAATACATTTACAACGTAGAGAGTCCAAATGTTAGAATAGATAATGTGCATATCTATATGCAAAGGAAATGTCAAAAGATCCAGGTGGGAGTCCCGATCCACCAGGTGCTGAACAAACTAAATAATAATACAGGTTTTAAAAAGCCGTTTTCTCGCTCTGTGTTCAGGTTTCGCCCGATGTCGGTGTTCCACGAGGGCGACGGAGACGAGAGCGGCTTCACCTGCTGCGCCTTCTCCGCCCGGGAGCGCTTCCTGATGCTGGGAACCTGCTCCGGACACCTCAAGTTCTACAACGTGTTCTCCGGGGAGGAGGAGGCCAACTACACATGCCACACCTCCGCCATCACACACCTGGAGCCCTCCAGGGTGCGTCACTGACACACAACACAAAGTCTAGTATTAAAATAGTATCTTTAGTTTTAGAAAACCCAGCAAAGGATTTAAGGGATGTCCTGGTTATTCTTGAAGCAAATATAACTAATATTCTTATTTTTAATATACGTTTTTGTCCTACGTTTCTGGTGTTTTCTTCTTCTTTCTTTCTGTTTTTTTTAGGTTTTGTAAACATATGTCTCTCTCCATAGAGGCTGAATCATCATGTTAATCACATAGTTATCATATGCCTAAAACAGTCCTGATGCTCTTCTAGGTAATCACACATCCTGTCATGAACACAGCTACTTTCCCCGTTTAGTTCCGTTAGTACCGCTTATGTTGCGTTCACACCGCAAAGACTACTTAGAACTTTTACCCCCATTTTTAGTCCCTGCTAGAGAGGTGGTACCAACCTGGGGAGAAAAAAGTACCAAGTACCAGTACCTTGGCTGGGCGAATTGCAAACCTCGCCCGTGAAACTCTGAAAAGTTTTTTGAAGCGGCCATATTGTATTTGCTGGCAGTAGCATTATTAGCATTAGCATTAGCATTAGCCCCGCGCACCAACGGAGAGAGACTAACTTATGGCAACACAAAAGAAACATGGGAGCGGTGGAGATGAGGAGGTGTCGGCGTTCTGGCGATTTACTCGGAAGTCTTCAGTAGAAGCTGCTGGGAGTCCCAGCAGCTTCTACTGAAGCCAGTCCCCAACTCCGGGGACTTCCGGCCGGGGACTTCGGGTGGCAGTATACGCCGTGAAGTTGTTTGCGGCCTGCCAGTAAACCCGAAGCAGAAGAAGACGAGGTGACGTCAGCGGCTCATTTGCGTAATCTTCCCTCAGGGTAAAGTACTCCGGTGTGAACGCGATTGGTACTGAATGCCCTGCGGTTATAAGTACCGTGGCAATAAGTGCCGGAAATAAGTACGGCAAAGTGCGCGGCGTGAAAGCGGCTTTTGTTATCATGTTACTCTCATATTGCAAGAGGACATTCAGGATTTCCCAACATATTGACAGTAACGTGTATGTTTGTGTTTCTCAGGATGGGAAGCTGCTGCTCACTTCTGCCTCCTGGAGCGTCCCGTTATCTGCTCTCTGGAGTATAGACAGTGTCTTCACCCTCAAGTAAAAACAGTGACACTCACACACACACACACACTCACTCACTCACTCACTCACTCACTGTTTCTCACTGTTTGCAGGAACTCGTTTGTGGACGATCACTACGTGGAGTTCAGTAAACACTCTCAGGACCGAGTCATCGGCACCAAGGACCAGGTCGCTCACGTAGGTCCCACAAAATGTTATTTGGATATATTATTTTACATCTTAAACACCATTTTTCAACATTTCATTGTGTCTTTTACTCTGTCTCTCGTTAGTTTTGTAGCGCGTGGCATTGGGGCGAATCAGAAATCACTAAGACAGACCTCCTTATTAACTTCTATATTCTGGTCCCTTGTTTTCATTATTACATTATACAACATCTGTATCAAATACACACACAATGGCCTTTTTAAAATGTGTCATCAAGGAACATTTGGATTATTTTTTTGGATGTTTTTCTCCCCTATAATACTCCTTTATCAACAGTATATTACAGGGGTCTTTGTTCCTGACACTTTCAGAGTCTCTGAACACAGAGGGGACACATGTTTATGTAGAAAAGTGGATATTGTTAATATTTCTTTCTGATTCAGATCTACGACATCCAGACGGGCGTGAAGACCCTGACGCTGAACGACCCTTCGCTGGCCAACAACTACAAGAGGAACTGCGCAACCTTTAACCCCAGCGACGACCTGGTGCTGAACGACGGCGTGCTTTGGGACGTCCGAAACTCACGAGCCATTCACAAGTTTGACAAGTTCAACATGAACATCAGCGGAGACTTCCACCCCAACGGCCTGGAGGTCATCATCAACACCGAGATCGTATCCTCTCATTCATGATGATAATAATAATGCACTTTATTCTAAACTTGCCTTGCCTAGAAATGATGAAGACTTAATGGAAACCAAGAGGCTTCTCATGGCTTGGCTATTTATGAATGGGCAAAGTTAGCTTAGCTTAAGTCCTGAAGGGTAAACCAGACGGACTAGCTCCATTCATAAATGCGTAAAAATGCCTTTAAAAAGGTGTAAAAATGTACGTGCTTTTACACGCTAGTCTCGGACAATTTCTTCGCCAATTTCAACTATTCATGTTTGAACTTTTGTATTCGTTGGGCAATTTAGATTTCTGTCATCATAAGATATATTGTTTGCCAGCACTGTTTATACAAATATATGTGAACCTTTAGGATAATTCTGATTTTATTTTCTATTTTAACATCAAGTCTTGCAAGAAACAACTCGGAGGACGTACCAGTCATTCTGCATGGTAAACTAGGCATTAGTTAGTATGCCGTGTGCATATGTACTGTTCTATAGTTCTACTTTAGAACCGTCCTGTAGTTGTTCTACTTTAGTACCGTCCTGTAGTTCTACTTTAGTACCGTCCTGTAGTTCTACTTTAGTACCGTCCTGTAGTTCTACTTTAGTACCGTTCTGTAGTTCTACTTTAGTACCGTCCTGTAGTTCTACTTTAGTACCGTCCTGTAGTTCTACTTTAGTACCGTCCTGTAGTTCTACTTTAGTACCGTCCTGTAGTTCTACTTTAGTACCGTCCTATAGTTCTACTTTAGAACCGTCCTGTAGTTCTACTTTAGTACCGTCCTGTAGTTCTACTTTAGTACCATCCTATAGTTCTACTTTAGAACCGTCCTGTAGTTCTACTTTAGTACCGTCCTGTAGTTCTACTTTAGTACCGTCCTGTAGTTCTACTTTAGTACCGTTCTGTAGTTCTACTTTAGAACCGTCCTGTAGTTCTACTTTAGTACCGTTCTGTAGTTCTACTTTAGTACCGTCATGTAGTTCTATTTTAGTACCGTCCTGTAGTTCTACTTTAGTACCGTCTTGTAGTTCTACTTTAGAACCGTCCTGTAGTTCTACTTTAGTACCGTCCTGTAGTTCTACTTTAGTACCGTCTTGTAGTTCTACTTTAGAACCGTCCTGTAGTTCTACTTTAGTACCGTCCTGTAGTTCTACTTTAGAACCGTCCTGTAGTTCTACTTTAGTACCGTCCTGTAGTTCTACTTTAGTACCGTCCTGTAGTTCTACTTTAGTACCGTTCTGTAGTTCTACTTTAGAACCGTCCTGTAGTTCTACTTTAGTACCGTTCTGTAGTTCTACTTTAGTACCGTCATGTAGTTCTATTTTAGTACCGTCCTGTAGTTCTACTTTAGTACCGTCTTGTAGTTCTACTTTAGAACCGTCCTGTAGTTCTACTTTAGTACCGTCCTGTAGTTCTACTTTAGTACCGTCCTGTAGTTCTACTTTAGTACCGTCTTGTAGTTCTACTTTAGAACCGTCCTGTAGTTCTACTTTAGTACCGTCCTGTAGTTCTACTTTAGAACCGTCCTGTAGTTCTACTTTAGTACCGTCCTGTAGTTCTACTTTAGTACCGTCCTGTAGTTCTACTTTAGTACCGTTCCTTCGTTGGTCTGTAGTTCTGCTGCAGTTGGTCTGTAGTTCTGCTGCAGTTGGTCTGTAGTTCTGCTGCAGTTGGTCTGTAGTTCTGCTGCAGTTGGTCTGTAGTTCTGGTCTGTAGTTGGTCTGTAGTTCTGCTGCAGTTGGTCTGTAGCTCTGCTGCAGTTGGTCTGTAGTTCTGCTGTAGTTGGTCTGTAGTTCTGCTGCAGTTGGTCTGTAGCTCTGCTGCAGTTGGTCTGTAGCTCTGCTGCAGTTGGTCTGTAGTTCTGCTGCAGTTGGTCTGTAGTTCTGCTGCAGTTGGTCTGTAGTTCTGCTGCAGTTGGTCTGTAGTTCTGGTCTGTAGTTGGTCTGTAGTTCTGCTGCAGTTGGTCTGTAGCTCTGCTGCAGTTGGTCTGTAGTTCTGCTGTAGTTGGTCTGTAGTTCTGCTGCAGTTGGTCTGTAGTTCTGCTGCAGTTGGTCTGTAGTTCTGCTGTAGTTGGTCTGTAGTTCTGCTGTAGTTGGTCTGTAGTTTGCTGCGTTGGTCTGTAGTTTCTGCTGCAGTTGGTCTGTAGTTCTGCTGTAGTGGTCTGTAGTTCTGCTGTAGTTGGTCTGTAGTTCTGCTGCAGTTGGTCTGTAGTTCTGCTGTAGTTGGTCTGTAGTTCTGCTGCAGTTGGTCTGTAGTTCTGCTGCAGTTGGTCTGTAGTTCTGCTGTAGTTGGTCTGTAGTTCTGCTGCAGTTGGTCTGTAGTTCTGCTGCAGTTGGTCTGTAGTTCTGCTGTAGTTGGTCTGTAGTTCTGCTGTAGTTGGTCTGTAGTTCTGCTGTAGTTGGTCTGTAGTTCTGCTGCAGTTGGTCTGTAGTTCTGCTGTAGTTGGTCTGTAGTTCTGCTGTAGTTGGTCTGTAGTTCTGCTGTAGTTGGTCTGTAGTTCTGCTGCAGTTGGTCTGTAGTTCTGCTGTAGTTGGTCTGTAGTTCTGCTGCAGTTGGTCTGTAGTTCTGCTGTAGCTGGTCTGTAGTTCTGCTGCAGTTGGTCTGTAGCTCTGCTGCAGTTGGTCTGTAGTTCTGCTGTAGTTGGTCTGTAGTTCTGCTGCAGTTGGTCTGTAGTTCTGCTGTAGTTGGTCTGTAGTTCTGCTGCAGTTGGTCTGTAGTTCTGCTGCAGTTGGTCTGTAGTTCTGCTGTAGTTGGTCTGTAGTTCTGCTGCAGTTGGTCTGTAGTTCTGCTGCAGTTGGTCTGTAGTTCTGCTGTAGTTGGTCTGTAGTTCTGCTGTAGTTGGTCTGTAGTTCTGCTGTAGTTGGTCTGTAGTTCTGCTGCAGTTGGTCTGTAGTTCTGCTGTAGTTGGTCTGTAGTTCTGCTGTAGTTGGTCTGTAGTTCTGCTGTAGTTGGTCTGTAGTTCTGCTGCAGTTGGTCTTAGTTCTGCTGTAGTTGGTCTGTAGTTCTGCTGCAGTTGGTCTGTAGTTCTGCTGTAGCTGGTCTGTAGTTCTGCTGCAGTTGGTCTGTAGCTCTGCTGCAGTTGGTCTGTAGTTCTGCTGTAGTTGGTCTGTAGTTCTGCTGTAGTTGGTCTGTAGTTGGTCTGTAGTTCTGCTGCAGTTGGTCTGTAGTTCTGCTGTAGTTGGTCTGTAGTTCTGCTGCAGTTGGTCTGTAGTTCTGCTGCAGTTGGTCTGTAGTTCTGCTGCAGTTGGTCTGTAGTTCTGCTGCAGTTGG